TGGGCCAGCGTGGAGGGTCGTGACGCAATCTTCCTATTCCATCCATAGGGAAGACCTGTGCCCCAGAAGTGGGGACATTAATAGGCTGATGATGACGTGGTTTAAGAAAATAATAATATATTCATTTCCCTCCAAAACTCTTCATTATCATCGGTCTAAAAATTGGATGGAATGGATGGTAATGATGTGGATATGAATGAATAAATAAAAAAATTTCATTGAGAGAATCTTAACCGAATAAGTAAGAAACTCGGAAATTGAGACGGATTAAAATGAGACCCAGAGATAAGCATATTAAGTGATTTTAATAATTTACTTACCAAAGTATCGTGTAAAATCAATGGAATGTGATGAAGCGATTTCTGTACAAAGCACTACTGACGACTCCAAGATCGTATATAATTATGGCATAGACTAGCGCACGTCCACCTCGCTGCTTGCTCACAGTGTACTGACCAGTAAAAACACGTTGTAACCTAAACATCTTCGAAATCGAACGAATAACCTACTAAATTAAGAAGTTTCTGGGTACGGATGTGGATGAAATTTTTATAGTGACAATTAGAAATATTAGGTTTGCTGTTAATTTAAATTGATTGAATATTATATAAACATGTATAATAATAGTTTAAGAGTTTAACTATAATATTGTATCATAAGTTAAGCAATTAATTAGAATATAGACGTACGAACATTAAAGTTCCCGCCAAGGAATTCTGTTGGAAACGGATAGTAATGATTTTACACTAGGTTTTTATTTATTATCTATAATAATATTAAACAATCATGCAATATTAATGGTACTCCCTTGAGAGCGATTATGCTTTTACTTATTATGCATATAAAAGTTAACATTAAACAATAAATTCACGAGTAAATAGCCTGGATATCCTTTTTGCACGAAACCACGGAACTACCCACCTACTTGTTGATCAGTAGAACAATATTTTACAATGAAATTACCCTTATTATAGTTCTCACCTTTCATTGAATGACCCAGTTTTTGTCAATCAACTTAATAGAACTTTGATTATCTATATTGAGAGTAATTTTTATTTTACATGTTAACACTTCGTTCATGAAACTCTATGAATTCTGTTGAAGACAGAGCAACTATTGGCTGTCTTTTTGAACACCAAGAAATTGGTCCATTACACATCATTATTACAGAACCAGTTGTAATACGTCTTGTCACAACATCATTTGCGTAGTCAGAATCACAATATGCATCTAGACAGGATACATCACACCCTGTTTTATACATGATACCTTTATTACGAGTACCACATAGATATTTAAGTATCTTTTTAATAGCTATTACATCAGATTTGTAAGGATTTTCGATTTTTCTACTGGCCTCATTTACAGCTTGAGAAATATCAGGTCTAGTTTTAGTTGATAGATACAATAAACCTCCTATAAGCTTTCTATATGGAAACATGTTTTCTGAAGGTTCTGAAGTGACATTCTTATCAGTATTTCCAGGAATTTTACATGGTTTAGCATTATACATATTAAATTTTAATCTGTGTAATTTTTTTGTGTTAGTAAAATACCTTCATTATTTCTAGTTATTTCAACTCCGAGAAAAGTTTTTGGTTTGTTATTTCAAATTCTTTTTCTAGACAATTTAGTATATGGGTCGTTCTCACCAAATCTCGAAATTCTTGTCCTAAATGTTTTCACCAAAAAATAGTAAATATATAGTGGCAAGTAATATTTCCCTGCAATGAACATCACCGTCGCTATGCGTATTAGTTATAATTTTCGAGTCCTATGTGTAAATTAAAAAGAAAATAGGCTATTAATGACGTTCAAATCATTCCCTCACTATGTCCCGAGTCCCACTTGCAATTACTTTAATATTTTTTAATAAAAGCCAGTTTCATTTCAAGTTTCATTAACTCATGCTAAAATCAAAGGGTTTATGAATTTATTCTTCATTAGGATAAAAAAAGCTAAAAATTAATATTTAAAAAAATTTAAACCAAGTGTCCAATTTAATTAAATCATTCCCTCATAACTTTACTAACAATTCATTTATGAACGCTGTTTCAATCAAACGTGAACGTTACCGTTTGTTTTTGATAGTTGGCAACACTGACATTTTACCAATATGGCGAATCGATTGTGTACGCGTTCGAGGTTTTGTTGAAAAAAGGTAGAATTCATAATTTTTTAAAATTACATTTGTTTTCGTCATTACATCACGTCCTAGAAAAAATAAAGGTAAGTACTTTAACAATTATTAATGCCATGATGAAGAAGGGTTTTGGGAGTAGTTCACTTACACAAATAACCTTGTTTAAAGCATGGCCGTGTCACTAGTATTTTTAGGTTATGTTTCGTTTCGTCATTCCCTCATCATCATTACCTCATATATATTTACAGTGAGGGAATGATGACTAAGGAGGTAATGATTTTGACTGTGTTGGAATTATTTTTTACTATAGCGTGCTGTAGTAAATCTCTTGCATTTAACTGTAACATCTTGTTTTGGGGCATAATAATGGCAAGAAAAAAGAGATTCAGTGAAGAGGAAGCTAAATTAAAAAAGAAGGAATATGATAGGAAGCGAAGGGAAAAAATGAAATCTGACCCTATAAGTTTTGAGGCATTCCGAGAAAAAGAAAGACTTAAATACCTAAAAAAGAAAGAGAAAGACCAAGTAAAGTCGATATCAAACATGAGTTCAAGAGAAAGAAGGAATAAGAGAAAAAACTGGAAGAAGCCAGACATACAGAGATAATAAAGCTAAAGATCAAAAAAATCTAACAAGACTACTAGATGAGACACCTCCTCCTAGCCCAGGACCCGTCATAGAAGCAGATTTTCAAAATAATAGTAAAGCTAGGAATTTTGTGGCGGCTAGGAGAAGGCGGCAACTAAGAAAACGTAGAGCAGTGCTGTATGCAAAAATAGCTAAATTACAAGCAAAACTGAAAAACGTATTGAGACAAAAGGAAAAATATCGTAAGGGATGGAAGATGCATATGTAATATTTATGAAAATTTTATGATTAAAATGTTAAAAAAATATAAAAGATATGCCACTGCAACGTTTTTATTTTACATAATGTTGTTTTTTAACAATTATTACGAATTAAAAATACTTGAAACGGAACGTATTTTAAAACACCAATCAGCGTTTAGTGACGTCACTCCTGTTATGACAACTTCTTTGAGGTTATGGTTGTTAAAGTAAATATTATTTTGTGGGAATATTTATTGCGTTTTTTACATTTAATAAAAATGGAAGTTGCGTTTATCAAAGCAGACTCCAGGAATTTACCAAGAGTTAGCGTTGACATGGTTATAACTTTTTTTGTCTAAAGTGCAGAGTTTTTAAGTGTAGAAATGAAAGGGACTAAATTACTACGGTATGTAAAAATCGTAGTTGTTAACTTCATATTTTATTCAGCGGCTTCTACAAATCTTATGGCGATAATGCAATCGGCTATGTCCAAATTAAAAGAGATGGAAAATTATATACAGTAAAAGGTCGAGTTCTCCGGAGCATAAAGTACGTAAAGAAGGTTATCGTGTTACAGTTATTTTAAATGAAACGCAAAGCTTGGTTCAGTCCTGCCAATGTAAAGATTGTGCCACACATTTTAAACTTTATCTAATTTTCGATGTCATTCTCCAACTGTAAAATTAAAAATATGTTATAGACAGGTTTTGTAAGTATTAGGTAGGTTACGTACAAGCAGATTAATTAAGAATATAACAAGTATATTCGCCGACTTACGTCAAAGTGATCTTCTCAGCATCGAATAATGGTCTTTGGAGAATAATTGTCATTTCTCTTCGCAGCTTGAAACCACTTTTTTTCAGTTTTGGGTCAGAAGTTCCAGTCAAAAACAATTTATTTGGGAACTTTGTTGAAGTAGATTGGCACAAAACATGAGTCAACACGGCTTTTTTTCGGAATATTAGTGGTATTGTTATGATCACATGATGTTGATGAATAGTCCATTTTAAATTTTTTAAAAAAATATTTCGAAAGTCGAAAAAATATGCAAAAGTATGAAAATTTAAAGCCAGCAACGAACAATTACGACCAGTGACAGACAGGAGTGACGTCATCGCAACCATAGGTTCGTTTTCGCGCGAAAATTTAAATTGTCAATTTAAAACCGCATTTTTTCCGATAAATCACAATGTTTTAATTTATTAATATATCTGTGGTTTATTCTACATGGAGTTCTTTAAAATGAAAACAAAAATAAAAATATTGCATCTTCCCTATTAAAGAATGAACAGACGTCTCCTGAAGCTAAAGTATCATCGCTCTTACAAAATATCCAAGTTCCAAAACTTGTAAAAAAGAAGCTTCTACTGTCGGAAGTTATGACTAAACAACTGAAAGACAAATACACAAACTTAAAAAAACGTATAGAAAAGCAGAGATATTTTCAGATTCTACAACCGGATCTTTTTAAAAATCATAAATTGCTCCACTTAGCAAAGCCGTTCTTCAAACATGACACATACAAAAACAGTGGTTTGTAAACAATTAAATTCTCAACAAATGAAAGTCAAGAAAGACGTTGTGAATTTTTTGGAAAAAGATGAGAATTCCCGGATGTGCCCAGGAAAAAAGATTTTATCAGGTCAAAGAGACAAATAAAACAAAAACGTGTATTATGTGACACACTGAAGAATTTACACAAAAAGTTTCAGGCGACGCCGACGGTCGAATATAAAGTAAGCTTGGCAACTTTCTGCAGGTTTCGACCTTTTTGGATGACTTGGGCGAGCATCAAAGAATAGGACACTTGCAAATGCGTGATCCATGCGAACGTTGAACTGATAATAATGAAATTGCACGAAAATAAAGCACTGTCTTGGCGTAACCTAACAAGATTTCTGGCCGTGAAAACATGCAATGTGTATTCTACTAAATGTTTAATGCGAGAATGTGAAGATTGTAAAAATAAGAACGTGGAATATTATCTTCCACAACCAAACAAAATGGTGACCTATCATCAATGGCAGTATGAAACTAGTTCTTACGAGAAGGATGGAAAGATGAAGACGGTACGAAAATCTGTCAAAAAAGAGATCAAGATCCCAATACGAAAACTAGTGCAACAGTTAGAAGAGACGATGCCTCTCGTTTGTAAACATGTTGCCACAATAACGCATCAGTATCAGATGATTGCAAAACTTAAAAGGAAATTGACCCAGAATGAAGTTCTTATTCACATAGACTTCAGTGAAAATTATTGCTGCAAATACTACGAAGAGATACAGGCAGTACATTTTGGAGGAGCAAGACAACAAGTCACACTTCACACAGGAGTATTATGGGTGCACCAGATGGTGTAGGTGGCACCTTAAAAAGAACTGCCGACAAAGCTGTTGCTGAAGGTCGAGATATTGTGAATTTAAATGCGCTCAAGGAAATTTTGTCATCTATGTCCTTCGATAATGCTATTCGAGGTTAACACTGCTAATATTGCAGAGATAGAAAATTTTGTCAAACATTCAGGCAATATCTCTGCGTTCCGTGAAACTCAAAAAATTCGCCAATTTGTTTACAATGGTGATGTGCTAGAATTCAGACAGCTTTCTTGTTTTGATTGTGTGGGAAAATGTACTCATTATTATCTGGGATATTACTCGTCTTCAAATCCTTCTATTATAACAAAGCCCACTAAAGTACAAACACGTACCAAGAACACTAAGTCGCAAGGACAATCATCATCATTAAATGCTGTTATTTTTCGCAATCCTGCTTATTATAAGATAGTTGATCATATCATTGTGAGGTGGGACGAACAAAAATATCCGGGGATACTTATCTCATTTTCTGAGGAAGCCGCTTTAGTTAAGTGTATGAAAAGAGGAACTAAATTCTGGAAATGGCCAGCAATTAAGGACGAACAGTTGTATGCCTAGAAAGATGTTCTGCAGAAGATCAAACCCCCGACACTGATCAAAAGAGGGTGTTATTCTGTAAAAGAGATCGATTTACCTTAAAATATATTATAGATGTGAGACTGATGTTTTTTTTTATCTTCGAGACTGATGAGACGTGCGCAGGCGCGACGAAGTTCCTTACGGCAGGCTTGGAGGGGATAGGGATTTTGCTGCGCGACCGAACTGAAAAAAATGTGATATTAAAACCGTAAGAAAAAATGCGTGGAATAAAACTATTAAATGAGACGTGCGCATAGGGAGTGGTAGAGCGACGAGGGTGCATCACTGAAATATTGTGATACTACATCAACACTAAATATGTGTGAAGTTATAGGGGGTAGTAGAGCGACGAGGGTGCATTACTGAAATATTGTGATATTACACCAACACTGAATAGGTGTGAAGTTATAGGGGGTGGTAGAGCGACGAGGGTGCATCACTGAAATATTGTGATATTACACCAACAGTGAATATGTGTGAAGTTATAGGGGGTGGTAGAGCGACGAGGGTGCATCACTGAAATATTGTGATATTACACCAACACTGGATATTTGTGAAGTTATATCAAGCTGTGGACCAGTAACGCCTGTGAGACATGATTATGATTACAAGGTGAGTACTTATCAGGAGGTGGCAGAGCGAGGGTGCATCACTGGATTATTGTGACATTGTAGTTTATTCTAAACTGTGGGCCAGTCCTGCCTAGCATCCTTTACGAACGCTAGCGGGACATGATAATAAGGTGCGTATGTGGTGGGTGGCACAGCTACGAGGGTGCAGCACTGGAATATTGTGACATTACACGAAATCTGGATATTTGTGACGTTATACCGAGCTGTGGACCAGGAACGCCTATAATCTGCTGTAAACTTAAGCTAGACATGATAACAAGGTCAGTACTTAACAGGGGGTGACAGAGCGTCGGGGGTGCAACTCCAAATTATTGTGGCATTATACCAACACTGGATTATTGTCGTATATTATACTAAACTGTGCTTAAGTCCAGGGGGTGGCAGAGCGACGGGGCTGCGTTACTGGATTATTGTGACATTGTAGTTAATTATAATTTGTGGGCCAGTCCTGCCTAGCAATCTTTACGAACACTAGCTGACCGAACTGAAAAATATGTGAAAATGTGATAGTAAAACCGTAAGAAAAAATCCGTGGAAAAAAGTGCGTGGAATAAAACCGTTAAATGTGACGTGTGCAGGCGCGACAGTCGCATACACAAGCGAGTTTGCAATTTGTGCCGATTCTACATTAGCCGAAGGAACTTCGTTCCTACCTGGTGTCCCACGACACCACATCATTTTTTCTTTTTCTGCAGTGTGTGAACATGCATTAGGGGGACCAAACCATTATACCCCAAGAGCTGACAGCCATTTTTGAGTACATCCTTGAGGCACATTGAAAATATTATTGTTGATTAGTTGCGAATGTGTGGATGATGAAATGGCCGACCTGGCTGGGAGGTTGCGGGGCGTTAATGAGCTATGATTTTTTTAATTTGCAATTTTTCTCATGCAGAAAATGTTCTTGAGGCACTTTGAATCTTACAGTATTTTAAAGTCTGATGTTTAATTAAACGATATATCATAATGCCATGCGATTTGGTTGGGATTTAAATGGTGACAGGCGATTTAAAGTTATATTTTTTTTTGCGCAAAAAATGTACTTGAGGCAAGCTGGGATTTATACACAATAATTGTTGTGTTGATAAGATGCCATATATCAAATGACAGGCCGTTCTGGCGGTTATTTAATCTTGCCAGGTGATAATAATAGTTGCCTGTGAGTGCGAGTGAGCGGCATAGCGGGTTGTTATGAGCGTGAGAGAGAGCGTATATCTGCAGTCGACTGAGTGGAACGTGCCGTGACGTGATTGGCTGGGAGCGGTCACATGGCTCAATAGCCGTTAACGTACATCTGTTGGTAGTATTAGAGTAAGTTTACATTCATAGCATAGCAACGACGCGTGATTTGAATTTGTGTTCTATTATTTTGCATTTTACCTAATAATAATTAATATTAACAATTGTTACGTAGTATAATTATGGCAGGTAAAAATCAAATTTGTGTATTTTGTAAAAAAAGTGGTGGAAAAATAATTGTTTTCAATGAAAAAACTTTGATGAAAAGTATTGATATATTGCGTATCAGACAGAAGCATGGTTTAAAATATAACGATGTTGTTTTGCCATGTAATATTAGTTCGAACGATGGTTACCATACCTCATGTTATAAGAATTTTTGGCTGTCATGAAGAAATACTGTGACGAAAAAACACCTGAAATACCTGAAACACCTGATGTATCTTCGCTTTCATTAGGTACGTATAATATTGCATATTATTAATATATTTATGTACTTATATTATTGTTATATATACAATTTTGGTCGTTTGTGTTATTTACAAATTCAAGTTCAAGTTCCCAATACGATAAATGTTGACATCTGACCGATTACGAATTTATTACTGGTATGAATGTTTATATTTTTCTGAACGAATTAAACGATAATTTTCACACAAGAGACCTTACAACCTTGAAAATACTTAAACATTTGTAAATATGTCTATATCAATTTATTATTAAGCAAATTATAAAGTGCTCTTTCATTAATAAATTATGAATTCTAGAATTATTATTAATTATTATTTGTCGAAAAAAATTATAAATGAGTATGTTGACTAATAATTATTTCTTTGAAAATTCATTAATATTTATAATAAATATATTTTTTTATTTTTATAAAGAAACAATGAAATGAACTATTTTAAATTCGTTTCGGAATTATTTCATATTCACTATCTGCACTGAAAAAAAATCCAATAAAAATTACTGTACTGTTCCAGTAATCGAGGACTAAATAGACACAATGGCAAATTTTATTGTTTGTACCATAATAATTACTGTTATGTAAAATAAGAATTTTCGTACTGTACAGTAAAAATTTGTGCAATGCTTACATACAGAATTTTATTATTTATTTAAACAGTAAACATACAAGTTTTTCGAAGCGATATGTTTTTTAATAATTCTAATTTTTTGATAATGAATATAAATTAGTTTTTCATCAATTAGATAATTTCCAAATATAATAGACTTAATTATTTATAATGATAGCATATTATAGTTTATAATATGTGCACCGTGCATAACCAACAACCAATGCAATCGACAGACTCATAAACGTGCATTCCTAATTTACAAATTAATTTTTTTTATAGATATTATACAAGAATCTATTAAAATATTTATTAGATTGAAAAAAAATATGTCACAATTTTATATAAATATGATTCAGTCAATGTAGAGAAAATATTATGTTTTGATATAATTAAAATTGCAGCATTAACAAATATTAAAAATTATTTCATTTATAACTCCTTAAAGTATCTAAATGTTTTCAAAAAATAAATTTACCAAAATTCAATAATTTTTATTGAATTGTACGGTAATTTTCATAGTTTGAACAATAAAATTTGCGGCATGATTGTTATGTAATTACGAATAGTATTATTTTTCTTTGTACATTTTGTATTACAGATATTCCAGGATCGTATGAATGTGATTTTGAAGAGCAAATTATAGATATTGGTTCTACGTCACATGGAAACGTAAATGTGCAAGATACAGTACAGGATGGTACGAAGGTTTGCATATTTTGTAATAAGCAATTGAGAAAATGGAAGGGGCAACGTCAGGTTCTTAGTGCTCTAGATAAAAATTTTTTTCCAGATTCGTTGGAACAATATGAAGAAAACATCAAAAATACAGACTTATATAAAAAAGTTGAGGAATTGGAAAATTTATTTAATCACAGAATTCGTCGGAAAGCGTTTTTTAATAAATTACGAGATCAACAACAAAAACCAATTACAAGTTTCCATAAAAATTTAGAGTACCACAATTCAACGTTTAAAGAAATTTGCAATTTCATCGACGAAAATATTTTAAACAACAGAAACTGCTATTTTTTCAATTTATTATGTAAGTATTACGTTGAAATAATTGAAAGAATAGCATTAGAAAATCAGGATAAGTACGATTGCACGTTTAATAAAGTACATTTTGAATCAAAGTTAAAAAATAAATATGGAAATCGTTTGCAAATTGTTATGTTGCATAATAAAAAAATAATTGGGCCTAATGGGCGTGAAATTGATGAAAATTTGTTCGCACTGTTGGAAGAAAAAGATATTGTACAGAGTGCTGCTCTCATTTTACGTCGAAAAATTTATGAAATTAAAAAAAATCCACTTCCACCAAATTTAAGTACTAATGATTTATTGAATGGTGAATGTTCCATACCTCAAACGCTACAGGATTTTTATTCGACGGTATTGCGTGGTTGTCGTTGGAGAAATAAATATACCAGCGAAACCGATCGGAAATGTAAATCGT